CAGTAAACTGGCCCTTTCCTTAAAATGTTTGGAGACCCCTGTTCTAGGGGAACTGATTTTCGAAAATCCATCTCTGATTTATTTGATTTATTAAGATCAGCTGTAAATAAAAATCACCATCTTCCAAACCCTAATGATTTATATGTTTTATTAAATGGAAAACATTACAGACACAGCAAAACATTTTATATGCAAAGTTCAGTGCATGTTCAATATATACAAATTCACATGAAAAACACATTAAAGGACAGCTCACCCCAAACGTGATGTTTCAGTTTTGTGTGGTTGTGAGGAAACTGAATTAATATAAAAACATGGTATCTCATTGCCATAGTGGCCAGCCAAGCAACCAGCATCCTCTGAAGATGGCTAGCAAGTTTGGCCTCTACATTTCTCCTGGTACAGTTCTTGTTGCATGGCTCTGGATGGAAGAAGGTGCTACATATATTATGACATTGTTAGAGGCACAAACTACTTCCAGGAAATCGTATTACTGGAATAAGAAGCTGGACAGTGACTAAACACTAATGCCCCCATGAAAACTGAAATATCGCTTTAAGGTGAAGATGGCCTTTTAACTAACCTACCACAAACCAGGGCTGTTCAAAACGAAGCATATGATGAAGAAACAAATAAGTAACAATCATCTTCAGTGTAAATCATAATGCAGAACAATCAGCAGATCTGGAGATATAGGCAGCTGAAGTTATATACAGATTATGACCTTTTCCTTTAAAAATTGAACTTGACCCACCTTTTGAACTTCTTTATTAGTCTATACAGTTGCCTATCACAATAGGAAGTTTCAAAAGTCAGGAGGGGATGAACTAAGCTCAACTGTCACAGGATCTTCACATAACATCTGCTGCCTGTTCTTCTGGATACATTGACTGGATAATTTCAGATTTCACATAAGATCATCACTGTCTATGTATTTTTTATCATATGCTCAGGTTAAATATCACAGGTTTCTATTGGCTTTGCTTTAAGGTTAGCATGTTAAATTCTAAATGTTTGTTGGAGAGAATGACCCTACCTATCCCCCCCCCAAAAAAAAAAAAACGTCTTGTTATCCAACTACTTTAAGAGTAAGGGAATGCAAATTATACTTAGTATGTTAAAAATACAATTGTTATATTTAAAACTCACCAATTGAAAGACAAGTATCTATAAAAAAAAATGACTGAATGGGCTAAAATATAGCATGTACAATACGTTCTTTACATTACATTTTGGGACCCTGATACTGCAAATTTGGTAACTTGGATTTTAGTTTATGGCAGTAATATTATTAAGCAATGATTTCTAATTGGTTGCTACGGGTTCCTGTACTTTGTACACCATCACTGCTTTTGGAACTGCATTATTAAAGCCCAGCTCCAGTTTATGGTCCCCTTCTGTATTTTATGTATACGTCATGTAATTAGCAGGGTTATTCTTTCTCTTCGGATATTTTTCTGATGATGGTCAGTCATTAATAAAGCAGGGAGCAGTACAGGTGTCAGAGCTGTTCTCTGCCTCAAACTCTGGGAGTCCAGGGTGCATTGGTGATTCCCCCCAAGGGGGTGGGTCCATGACACCTTGCACTCACAGGATGTCATCAGTCTTTCTGAGTAACATTTAAACCAGAATACTGAGGACATCTAGTAGTGGAAAGCAATTTCTGTGGAAGATAGCGCTATAGAGGAGGAGAGTATTGCAGCCAAAGCTTCTTTTTAGTTCAGAACACTTCCTGGGACCCCAGTTTTATTAAAAGAATGTTGACTGGACTCAGGATTTAAAGAGTGTCATTGTTGTCAGGGACAAACTTAAACTGATTGTAAAGGCTATATATTTTTTTCTGAAATAAAAAAGAGGTCTAAACTTACCTGCTCTGTGTAACGGTATTGCACAGAGCAGCCCTGAACCTCCACTTCTGGAGCTATAGGCTCCTCCTCTTCTGGCATCACCATAGCAAGTTGTTTGCTATGGGCACACGTGCAGACTCGCTTCTGAGCCAGGCTGTGTGCAAAATGTTCAAGCATATACCATGTGCTGATTCGTCTATGATGTTCATAGGCCAAGATCATTTTCTACAGTCATTCATCCAATGCATAAACGTGAATTGAATTTAAACCACCAATACAAGATAAATATAAAAGTCTATGCCCACCTTATGCCTGAGAAAGTGTAAACAACAGCAGGACAAGGGTCACCAGGGGTGGAAAATATGGGTCAAGATGGTTAATGTAGGAATCATCGGGGTCTGATTCACACAGTGGGGTCTGATTCAAAGGTTCACCAGTAGTTTAAGTCAGAAATTCCTAATAATACTGTCAATCCAGAACAAAAACATTTTACAGTTGACTGTTGACTAAAAAAAATTCCTATTTTAATAAATAGGAATTGGTGGTGGTGGTGGTGGCAGTCAAGGAGTTGATGGTCAGTCAACAAAAAACTGTTGATTCACCCATTGACTCTTTATATCTCTCATGGAACTTTAGGGATGAGACCTTCAGCTTAGCATCCTATCAAGGTCTCCAGGTGCTTTCTCCATAATGTACAATACCATCACAGAAAAATCCAACAGGGAGACTAGGACCCTTTTTAATTGAAGGTGGGCGTAGTTGAGAGCACCGGTGCTGGGATTTGGCTTCAGTATCTTTGAAATAAAGAAGCCAATGGGTGATTCAAATACCTAGTGTCCACTTAAAACTGAAAGTATATCTAAACCAAAAACATTTTTTTTGTAATATTGGATAGAGTAGAGAATGAATAAAACCCCTGTGAGTTTTCTTGGCATCTGAGTCCCATTACTGAGGTTTCCTCTGACTTCCTGTCCTGTATACACAACAAGAAGTTAGAGGAGATACTTCCAAAGTGAGGAAAATTCCCCCTTACACAGTTGTAACTGGAAAAAGTGTACCCATTGGAAGAGTTTTCTGTTCTGGTGATGACTGAAAATTTTTCTTTCACTTTCAGTCCTGGTTCACACATACTGTATGTGAATTGTGATGCATTTTAAATGGCACCAATTCGCATGACAGACCAGATAGAATGTCTTCCTATTGAGGTGAGTTACATACATGCAAGTCACACGCAAGGCATTTTGAATTTGGATGTAAAAAGGGTCCTGTGCGAGTTTGGAACACAATGCGTTCCAAAATTGCAAGCCATAGAATATAGTGAGATTCGGAGGTGTGTTCAGATAGCAATTCAACTCATATGCCTTTTTGCATAGGAGAGTATGGACGGGCTTTTTTGCATAGGAGAGTATGGACGGGCTTTTTTGCATAGGAGAGTATGGAAGGGCTTTTTTGCATAGGAGAGTATGGAAGGGCTTTTTTGCATAGGAGACTATGGAAGGGCTTTTTTGCATAGGAGAGTATGGAAGGGCTTTTTTGCATAGGAGAGTATGGACGGGCTTTTTTGCATAGGAGACTATGGAAGGGCTTTTTTGCATAGGAGAGTATGGAAGGGCTTTTTTGCATAGGAGACTATGGAAGGGCTTTTTTGCATAGGAGAGTATGGAAGGGCTTTTTTGCATAGGAGACTATGGAAGGGCTTTTTTGCATAGGAGAGTATAGAAGGGCTTTTTTGCATAGGAGAGGAAAGAAAGATTGCACCCGGACTATAATCACATTGCAGTGGTATTCAAATAGAAATGCATACCTGAATCACGCTAGAAAACAGAGCAATTTCAGCACGCATATGTGTGAACCGAGGCTAAGTCTCAGTAAATCGCCCTAATGAGGACACAGAGAGGAATAGCACCAGGTAGAGGTTTTAACCATCCACGAAAAGTGTTGGCTTTAGATACAAATCAAATATCAATTTAGGAATGACTGACTCTTTAAGCAACTTCATTTTTGTGGTTACAGAATTGGTGATTGTTACACCTCCCATTACACCTATCAAGAATAAAGCACTGGCTGGATGGATATTTGCTTTTGGTTGTAAGATGGCTGCTGGTATTACAGTGTAATTAATAATTAAATGAAAACATCTTTTAGACATAAAATTACCTTACATTTATACAGTAAGAAAATATCTATGAAATTGAAATGGTCCTTAGAGACAATGGAATGGAATTATAACAATTGGTGTGTAGAAAAGTGGAGATGTTGTTTGTAGCAACTAACCAGGGATAAACAGTATTTTTCCAGGTCAAGCTTAAAGTCCAACTCCAAACGAAGTGATATTTCAGTTTTGCATGGTTGTTTCTAAGCTGATGGATGCCTACTCACTCTATTCACATTCGTGCAGCTTTGGCTGGAACAGGGACTTTGTTAGACCATTACTATGCAATGTTTGTTAGCAGGTCACTTGTATCCTCCACTAAGGGTGTGTGTGACAAGGTAACAATGCAAGAGGAAAATTAGGAGACAGTTGTCAGCCCATAACAGGAAGTTCTTGAACAAGGCAGTAACACCAGGTATTATTTTAAAGAAAGCTGCAGATCAAACTGACTTTTAAAATTATGTAAACGTGTTTTAGATTATTTGAGATTTTACTGACTGGATTTACATCTACTACTTTAATATTTTACTGAGAATTTCTAGTAGAAGCTCTATCTACCTGTCATAGCTATCACAAACCCAAAGGATAGTGTTGCATTCCTTGATGGATTCCTTAAGGGGTTCGTTATGCTTTCTTGACAAAACATCTACTGGTAATTTTTGCCTTGAGGTCGAAAGGAGTCCAGCACTTTAAGCCTGCCCATATATGAAATATCAGCTAGGGGTGGAGTTGGCTTTTGTATGAGAACAAGCATCTGATTGGTTGCTATGGACAACACCTACATTTTCCTGTTTAACAGGGTTTATACACCAGTCCTTGTGAAGTTCACAGCTGGCCAGTTGGACATCATCTGGGTCCTTCAGTCCAAGAAAGCATTGTTTCCTTATTGTTATATCCTGTAGACTAATCAGGTCCATCACAATGTTCCTCAAAAATGTCTCTCTCTTGATACTCCAGAATTCTTCCCAGAGTCTTAGTCACCAGTAATGTATGACTTGATATTAACTTGTCTCTTCCTTCTTCTTTATAGGTATTTTTGTGGTTCTAGATAAAACAAGGATTACAAAACACAACTCTGGATTATGTCTCACAGTGGTTCTGTGTAGTCATATTTTATACTGTACAGATTTAGAATTCTTTGTCCAGAGAATTAAAAAAAACTCAGGATGAAAATAGTGGTCATGAGAACTGCTTATTCACACATGTGTACACTCCTGATATGTGATTGAATTACATCATCGGTTGCCCAATGGCTGAAGGTGAGGGTCCTAGCAGTGAAGTGAAGAAGAAGTGGGAAAAATGGGAGCTATGAATGAAAGCCTGAATCTGTAAGTGCCAGAGGAGAGCACTCTAGCAGGTAAGTGTGCCACACCATGTAATATGCTGTGCATACTTTCACTCTATGGCAAAAGTCCACAGTTAAAGTGCATGTTCCCCTTTAAAGGGTATTATAACCAAAACAGCTTGTTTTGTTTTGAATATAATAGAAAAGAGTTAAAACCACGAGATGGTTACTTTTTGATGTCTGTGTACTATTAGGGATATTTTTTCCTTACTTCCAGTTTCAGAATTCCCTTTTAGTCAGTTTCCCCCTACTTCTTGTTGCCCTCACTTTTTGCTTTAGTAACAATGGTCATTATAAATAAAGTGGTGAATCTCCCCAACTGGATGATGGAAAACTTTGTTTTGTTTCGGATTTGTTAATTAAGTTAATAATTTTGCTACGTCATATTTGTTATGTTAGAATGATTCATTTTTAGAATTTGTTTTGTAAATTCAGATTCGTTTCTTATATTCGTTATTTTCAAATCGAATCTAAATTAGAATTTCAGAAGACGGCTTTATTAGTTCTATAGTATTCCATTCTATTCTATTTTAATCTATTCTTTTTTTTTTTTATATTCTATTATGTTCTATTCTGGTCTGATACAATAAATTTTTATTGTTTCAGCACGAAAGGAGTTACAGTAGATCACCCACACAGGGGGAACACAATTAAGCATAGGTCAGGTAAACATGAGTGAAGTAATGCGCAAAAATTATTTTAACAGTATAAGTTGTTAATGAGCGACCGCACGGAGGGAGCCGTCGGTCTCCAAATGATACCTGAGGCCCAGGGATAAGAATAGAAAACAAAAAAGAGAGCGGAAAAAAGAAGGAAAAAAAAGGGTGGGGGATGGGATAGGAAAGAGGGGACAGGAAGGGAATGGGGAGGGAGGAAGGGGTAGTTCCTAAAGGCTTGGGTGTTGGCCTCGGCGGCTAAAAGTTGCCCAGGCTGAATGGATGCAGAGTAGGGAGGGCATACAACCACCAAGGGGTCCAAACTTTCAAAAATATGGCATGGGAATCATGTAGGATGCTAGATATCTTTTCATTTATCATCAGGGTGGTCAGATTACTCTTCACCACTGCAAACGAGACAAAGGAAGTCTTCCAGGCCCTGGCTATGGCACGCTTTGCGGCAATGAATACATAAGTGACAAGTTTCTGTTGGTATGAGAATAAGCCAGGAATCGGGCAATGAAGAAGTGCCAATTTAGCATCTTTTCAGATAGGTACATAAAATAACGTGTGCAAGAGCAAAAATATCCATGACCAGAACCTTGTTAGGCGTGAGCAAGACCACCAGGTATGGACCACATCCCCACATTCAGCCTCTGAAACACCTATCGCTATAAGATGTTCTTAGACCTGCAATGTGGGCTGGGACCCAATACCACCTCAGAAGGACCTTATAAGCTTCCTCCAGCGTAGTTGTGTTGAAGGAACACTTTGCTATGGATGACCAAGCCTTGCTCCAATCTGCATGGTCAATAGAGGTCCCTAAGTCTCACTCCCAACTTGACTTATAGGAAGTCGAAGAAGCAGTCAATAGCATTTGGCGAAGAGTAAATCAGAGAAATATGTGCCCGAAGCGCTGGGGGAGTGTCGACAGTTGTGTTGAAAGGCCGTGGTTTGGAATGGGAAGGTAGATTTGCTTCTCAGGGAGGTCACCCAGTGGTGAAACTGCATATAGAGAAAATATTCCATTCTTTTCTATTCTTTTATTTTCTGATTCCATTCTTTTATTTTATTTTCTATTCTGTTTTATGTTATTCTATTCCTTTATTTTCTATTCTTTTCTATTCTGTTTATTCTATTCTTTTATTTTCTATTCTGTTTTATTCTATTCAGCAAGCAGCCCAAGTAGGAATCATCATCTTATTTTATTTTTATACCGTACTGTATTTATTGCATAATGTTTTCATTTTTCAAACTCAAATTAATTTTCTAATTCAAATTAATTTTTAAATTCAAATTCAGATAATTTGTTTCATTATAATTTATTTTGGATTCGTTGAAATTCATTACTATTGTGATTCAGAAATTCAAATACATCCGAATCTCTGAATAATGAAAATTTTGTCTGAATTTTGATTCATAACTAAACGAATCGCACATTTCCATCCCCAACAGAAACACAGATGGCTATTAAAATATGACAGGGGTCTTAACCCTTCTCTACTCTATCCAAAACTCACAAAAGTTTTGCCTTCACATACATTTAAGTGTTGCCCATAACAAATCAACATCATCTCTATGAAGGTTCCCATTTACCCAGGCCATGCTCTAGTTTAGTAGTAGTTAGTCATGTAGCACCCTCCTAGAATAGGTTGCTAGAGAGGTTCAGGTAAATTTTGTCTTTTTGGCTCCACTGTAAACAGAGGAGAAGTGTGTTGCTAGTTTTTGCTGCTCTGGGTCAACTATTTCTTTCTGCCTTCAAGTAGGTTCAAGAATGTAGTGGGCTGGAAGAGGCAGACCGTGAGCTTTAATATTTATAGAAGTCTAGCCAATCTCCGGGGAGGTGTGCCCAGAAGGTGGAGAGAGAACCCATAAATAGTGTGAGGCCTACAGTAGCAGGCTTCTTTTCCAGGAGGAGAATATCCCAGCCTTAATGGCTGCTGCCCTTTGGGTAGGTTAGCTGAAGCCTGGTGGGCAGGTTAGCTGATTGATTACTACTCTACCATTTTCATCACACATAATGGCTAAAAATTCAGTATGACCAACAAACAAATTCCCATGGCTCATGTTTTCCCTTGCTGGTACTGGTTGCTATATTTCCCTTTCCCCCATTTTGCATGTATTTTCCACAGCATATATAACTGGAGCTTTTACATTTAGAATATTTTATTAACTCTTTTGTTATGTAATAATTGCTTGTTTGAATTTTTTCAATTACTGTTGTGGAATTATAATCATTATTAATATGTATTTTTTGTAGTCAGCTTAATTATAGACATTTTCCCTTTAAGAAATATACAATGTGATAGAAATATGCAGGCTACTAACCTCTGCATCTGAAAATTATGGTTGCCTGGCTGTGAAGCTGATCCAATGGCTTCATACTTTTTGAGTCACTGACCCAGAGGAAGTATGCAAGTCAAGAGTTTCGACTTTACCTGCTGCATGCTTGTTCTGGGTCAGTGATTGGTAGAATAATGAAGGCAGGAAAAGCCAGTTAACTGTTATTTTAAGGAGGGCATCAATGGCAGAATCCATATTGCCCTGAGTATTGATCAGCACAGCATTCTGGAAGTGGATGAGTTAACATTGTAGAGGAAGTCCTCTGGAAGGGTTGATCCAAGTCTCATACAACACCTGAGCTAAGTACACATCTGATTGAACCTGGTAAACTCCAACGCCACGCCAAATGTGAGTGTGATTTAAATGTCCATTGCCAGCTTTTTTCCATGCACAATTTTTAGGTGGAGTAGTAGAATTATAACATGTTTGGGTGGAGGTAGAAGTAACTCTCCGTCTATAATATATTTTTAGTTTCATAATGTGTTATTGAGTTTATGAAAACAAAGATACAATGTCCAATTCACACACACACATATATATATATATATATATATATATATATATATATATATATATAAAATTTTTATTTTTTTTTGGATCCATGTCTACCAACTGTTTATTCTAAAACCAAAGTGCTTCATTACTGATACTGCGCTCAGGCTGCCTGCAAGGGTGGGTCTTGTTCCCCTCTTACAGGAAATGTTAAAATATGTCATCTTCTGATAGTGGAAGTTTATCATGCATAGTGGTAAATGTTACCAGCCACCCCCTTAAACAATGTGCAAGGGGCAAATATGTAGTTAGATGTGGCTGCCTTCCTCCGACCTTTTTTTTCCCCTTTTTCAGGTTAAGAACATTTTTCAACAAATACAGAAAAATACCTGTTGGTCCTGCCAGAAATATAATGTCCTTGTGAGCTGGGCAGATTTCAAAAGCAATCTTCCTTTTATAAACTACTAATCCCATCTTCCCTCAATAGAGTTGAACAAAGGCAGACATGAAAAAAGTCCAGCAAAGCTGTGATATATCACATTTTTGGGTTTAGATTCGCTTTAAACATGATCATTTTTCAGACAATGTGAAGGCTGACTAATTAGTCACACATATGTACATGGTGGTAATGCAGGCCAATCACTTTGAATGGGTCTTTAGTGAACCTCAGTGGGCATGACTTCAACTCAATGTGTTCTGGTTCGCTAGAGGCCAGGTGCATTTGTTCACTCCATATGGATACATTTGGGGGTTCAATAGTGTGTACACTCAATGTAAAGGCTATAGCTTGGTTTCACTGTTTAAAGCTGTTTTAGGATACCGTTTTAGGATGTTTTAGGATGCCCAATCCTTGTCATGAACACTGTCGTGGAAGAAAACGTAGGGTACTCTTGCCAGTGTCTCATTCTGAAAAGCCTAGTTTCCTTCCTATGTCATTTTATTTTGGTGTGTAGTAACCTTTTAAACAAAGGCTCCATGCATGGACAGATTTACGCCCATTCTTGTCTGTGAAGGACATCAGTTTATTACACTTTTATGTGTTTAATTAAACACTGGGTAGATTTATTATTTTCAGAGGGCCTCTTATACACATTTATTGTTTGTGTTTCAACATTTAACATTTTGATTAAAGGCTAACTCCACCTTTTGCACCATGCTACACCTGTATGTGGGTGGATGTAAAATAGTGCAAATGGCAAGCCCCCCCCCCAACACCACCCCTTTCCCCATGGCAGCGTGCTGCCCCTGCAGACTGACTTGAGGTTCTCAGGGGAACATGAGAATGGTGATTACCATACTCATAGTCCAATGACCATTCCTCCATCTATCTAACTAAAAATCTATACCTTGGTACAGACAGGGAGCTGGAGAAGAAGTCTGTAGGAGGCTGGAATTGCAAAAACTGGATTTGGACTTTGGACATAGGCTGCCTGCATGCAGCACAAACAGCCAAATAACACTGTACAGCTTTTAGCACCCACGTGAATGAAGCCTTGTAGAACACCCACATTACTAACAAAGTGTTTTTCTGCATTGACCTCAAGTAATAAATAATTGATTGGTTATTCTCTTGGTATTTATTTATAAAATAGAAAAGTAAAAAAAAAAAAGGATACATGGTATTAGGGGAACAGACATAAATTACACAGTTTAGATGAGGACACCTGGGGATGTTGCTGGTTAGGAGGGTTGGGATGGGCTGGGAGTTAGACGTACTCTCTGGTAGTAGCTGACGGCTGGGATTGTCGGTAGTATTGCTGTCCTCTGGTATCTATGTTGGGACATGAACAGCACAGGAAGGATCCACCAAGCATGGTGAGGCTGGAAGCTGCCCAGCCTACAAATAACGCCGATCCAAACTCATACCTAGAACACAGGAAAAGCCAGATGTGATAACATCAGCACACAGACAGGATTATTTACTAAGACATCTTTTTTGCAGTTTTTTTTTTTAAATTGTATAAATGTGTGCAGTTAAAATGGATGCAGGGAAACTGCACAGTTGCTGTATACCATAGCAAAGAAAATATTACAAACTATCAAATAATTTTTTTGTGTGAGAATATAAATATAAACACACTATATTGCCAAAAGTATTGGACGCCTGCCTTTACACACACATGAACTTTAATGGCATCCCAGTCTTGGTCTGTAGGGTTTAATATTGAGTTGGCCCACCCTTTGCAGCTATAACAGCTTCAACTCTTCTGGGAAGACTGTCCACAAGGTTTAGGAGTGTGTCTATGTGAATAACCATTCTTCCAGAAGCACATTTGTGAGGACAGGAACTGATGTCAGAAGAGAAAGGCCTGGATCACAGTCTCTGCTCTAATTCATCCCAAAGGTGTTCTCTTGGGTTGAGGTCAGGACTCTGTGCAGGACAGTCAAGTTCCTCCACCCCAAACTCACTCATCCATGTCTTTATGGACCTTGCTTTCTGCACTGGTGCACAGTCATGTTGGAACAGGAAGGGGCCATCCCCAAACTATTTCCACAAAGTCGGGAGCATGAAATTGTCCAAAATGTCTTGGTATGCTGACACCTTAAGAGTTCCCTTTACTGGAATTAAGGGGTCAACCCCAACCCCTGAAAAACAACCCCACACCATAATGCCCCCTCCACCAAACTTTACACTTGGCACAATGCAGTCAGGCAAGTTCCGTTCTGGCAACTGCCAAACCCAGATGCGTCCATCGGATTGCTGGACAGAGTGATTTATCACTCCAGAGAACACGCCTCCACTGCTCTAGAATCCAGTGGCGGTGTTCTTTACACCACTGCATCCGACGCTTTGCATTGCATTCAGTGATGTAAGGCTTGGATGCAGCTGCTCGGCCATGGAAACCCATTCCATGAAGCTCTCTACGCATGCTTGTGCTAATCTGAAGGCCACACAAAGTTTGGAGGTCTTTAGCTATTGGCTCTGCAGACAGTTGGCGACTTCAGGGCACTATGCTGGGCTCATTTACACTAGTGGGCTTGTTCACATGTGCAGTGCCCTCTACCTGGTTTTAACTTCCACTAGCTACATGTCTGAACGAAGCCTTACATGGTTAGTCTGGTTGACAAAAGACACAAATCCTTCCAGTTCAACCCACAGAAAAAAAACCCACACACATACAAATAGAAAACCTCCACATACACAGTCCTATACCCACAGCTGATCCAGAAGAAGACAAGAAAAACCCCAATAATGGTCCAATTTGCTCCAGTGGGGGAAACATTTCTTTCTGATCCCCCAAGAGGCATTTGGATATTTCCTGTATCAACTTTATCTATAAATATTAGTATCCGGTTCTATTTTGTGCATTTGGGCCTGTTTCACATGGGCTTCTGCTTGTAGAAGAACTATGTGAACAGAAAGCTTTGACAAAGCATTTGTAGAGTTTTCAGAAAGCGTTGTTGAAGCTTTTAAAGAACCAGTCATCTCCAGTTTTACATTTTGAACACAGATCCTAATAGGGGTATAGATTGGCACTTTAAAAAAAGCTGTTAGCAGGCTTCAGCATTTCTTGAAGCTTCTTGAAAGCCTGCTAGCAGCTTGTTTAAAGTGGCAATCAGCACTCCCATTAGGATCTGTATTCAACATTTAGCTGAAAGCTTTGCAAATGCGTTGTCAAAGTTTGCTGGGCACACTGCTCTTATACAAACTGAAGCCTGTGTGAAACTGGCTTGGGAAAGAATCTGTGCCTTTTTTTAAAACAATCTACTGAGCTGGCCAGAACCATAACATTATAATGGTAGATACTGGAACATCCAATAGTTTTTTTTTTTTTATCTTTTGGTAAAGTCCCTTTTGATTTACATATTTATTCAAACAGAAATATTCCAGGTAGACAAGTGCATAGTGTGAAATTATGGAAGGGAGTATCTTAGACCTGTAAAAAGGACTGACTCTGCCAACTAGGCTCTCCTGTAACTAAAATATCACTTTTGGATGGACTGACCCTTTAAAAGCAATTAATGAATTTTCACTTACCGGGCATTGATTGGTGTATTTGGGTTGAAAAAGTCATGAGAAACTTGTGTGGCATACCACGAAACTGCAATTAATGTGCAGAGACCTAAAGGAGAGAATGAAAGAAGGGTGCACACATCAGAATAACCATAGCAGATTTGAAGTTTGAATGGTGGAAGGATCTGATCTGTGATTAGGGCATAAGGTATTAATATCTTAGTTTTGGAGACCATCGGTTGTTCCATAATTTTAACCAGATCGTTTTCAGGAATAGGTATACACACCCTACACCATTGTGGTATGTGACCCATAGGTACTTCACATTGTTGGCCAGAAGCCCATTAACTTTTAGTATTGGGGTTGTGGGATAGATGCCAAAATACAATAAGAAAACCTGCCATACAGGAGAACAGATAAACCCTATACAGTTGGTTTACCTGGTAGGAATTTTACACAGGACAATATAATCACTCCCAGAGCACTGTGTACTATATACAGTAATTGCTGTATATATTTCCTACTAAAATAATTAACAAAAATATATTTATCTGTACCGATAAGTCACAGTAGTATCCCTACCCCTGCCACTCTTCTTTGGCTACCTTATCAGATGGCTCCACATGAAGTTTCAATTAAACATAGACGGGCTGATATACTAAAAATAAAAAAAAATTTTTTTTTACTTTCCTTGCATGTAATTGGGTACCTTTTGCAAAGTGAAATGATAAACATTTACTAAATTCCCTTGCAACATAAACAACTTATTTGCCGTTAGTAAATCAACCTCACAGTGTCTAAACGTAAAACTGGTTCAGCTGTTCTTTTTAGAAAAGCCATCATGCTCTGAGAATTCTGTGCTATTATACTCCCTACATTTTTTTAAATAGAATGATGTGTATGTGGCGACACAGACATCTAATCCTTAGGACACACGTGAGACTCCAAGCTTACAAAAAAAAAAAAAACAAATTTAGTTTGGAACTTTTATTACAGCAAGAGTTCAGAAAGAACTTCCTCTTAGGAGGTGCGATATTTACCTGATTAGCAGCCTGATTCTTGTCTGCCAGGCCCAACACAACCTCCACTAGCTAACAGCAATGTGTTCTATCACTCAGTGTTTGCACCACCCACATCTTGATTTATGTGTGGGTTGCCTATCTTTGGCATGACAGCCTGGGGGCTCCTCAATCCAGCTGCCTTTAGCAACCACAATGGTACCAAGCAAACTGCATGGGCACCTTCAATCAACGTCAAATGCTCCAAGGCTTTATGTCATTGCCAACTGCTGGAGGCGTGAGCAGTGTGTGCCTGTGTCCGCTCTTCTCCTTTCTCCCTCACTGCCAGTGTGTAGCCGGTTGTCCTCCTGCCAGCTGGGTGTGCCTCTCTCCTCTCACTTCCCTGTTGTTCTGTACAAACACCTCCCAACCCCCCCCCCCCCCCCCCACACACTCCTGCTTCACTGAGGATTGGAAGAAGTTGTGTGAAGTCCCCCTCAATCCTGCTCCTACTCCCTTCTGGTAGAAGCGGCTTGAGCCAATCAACAGCAGCAAAGAGGACCTGCTGTGCATCCACTGAGGATCATGGGATATGTAGTCCTTAAATGGGCGCTGTGCAATACAAGTGAATGGAAGCTAATGGCAGCACAACTACTAGAGCATCCAGGGTTCCCTGCAAACAGAAGGAAGAAAGGATAGAGTTTTCCCAGCAATTCTACAAAAACATCAAGGCAGACAATGCGGGGAAACCAGTGCATGCCCACACTGGGAAAGAGACTGGTGAAGGCCAGAGCTGTGTGCTGCGTCGGATAGAAGCTGAGGACTGGGCCGTGGGGAGCCTCTGGTCTTTCGGACTGTGAGCACAAACCTGCTGCTCTTACCTGTCTGTGCCCACCTTGAGAGAGACTTGACCCTGAAAGAGCCAGTGGGAATCTGAATGCTGTGAATTGCAGGGTCTTGATCATACGGGAGGCCTTGAGCCTTCTAGGACAACCAGCCACCAAGCGTGTGGAACTGGATCCATTGCATTTCAGGAGCGATGAGTGGAACAACCCAAGCTAATCCCTTACTGTCCACAGTTAACACCAACAGAGACTGCCATCCCATGTGTACAGTCTAAAAGGGACATCTTCATGTACACCACCATACAGAAACACCCTAACATTATCCAGCTTAAATCTGCTAATTAAGGCAGCAGGTACTTTACACCCACTCCTATGCACAGAGTGCACTTGGGACACTTTTATGATCATTTATCGGCAAGAGTTATAGTGAGACTTTTTTTTGTGCTGTTTATGCTTTCAGCGTTGATGCTGTACTTGCCAGTGCTGTGTATACTTCTAATTGGGGTTTAGCCTTATTGTGGTGTAAGTTAATGGCCATAGGTGAGGCTAATGGGTCCCATCAGTTAACCTAACATATTCCTTGACCTGTTTATTGATGTGTGTATTGTGTTTATTCTACTTTGCTTCAATATACTAACTGTATCTATCATCAATTGCCTGTGGCCTATATTCTGTGTACTATTACTGTATAGAGGGGTAGCATACTAATGCTAAAGTTACACAGGTGTGAGCAGCCTTCAGCTTCTAACCAGGTGAGTCAGTGGGAACCAAGCAGTTTAAAGACTCATGGCAGAGAACAGAGGCGACTCCTCCAGGGGTAGCGCAAAATTATGAAACACCCAGACAGTGACACAGGATGGGCAATAAATTTTACTTCCCATGATTCAGCCCACCAGGAAAGGAACGTTACCAGGGGCGGACTGACAACTCATGGGGCCCCCGGGCAATAGGGGATCATGGGGCCCCTGTGTCCTTGCCCAAACTCAAAAAAGCCTATGAAAAAGGTACCAGGGGCATCTCATGGGGCCCCCTACTGACCCCCGGCCCTCGGGCAGTGCCCGAGTTTCCAAATGGTCAGTCCGCCCCTTACCGTTACAGGAAACCTCAAGTAATGATATATTGAGGAAGCTTTTCCTGGTCTCCCCTGTAAATGTTAGTTGAGCTTTGGTGTACATAAAACCTCTAGAAATATCAATTCATGCTTCTGTGATTGGCTCATCGATTTCATAGAAGTCTCATGTTTTGGGCATCCCCATCAATAGGAATTTCCATTTTGGGGAGTGAGATACTCCCCAAGGGTTGACAAATTCTAAAGTGATGCAGACCATTTTAGTTTTCCTCATTAGAGCACTGAAAGTACACCAATGGGTTATAATGAACCAAAACCTTCTATTCACAATCAGTATCCCAAGGACAATTTCTTCAGAACAACAAAAGGTAGGATTCTGCTACAAAGTTTGTAAAAACTCCTGCAATGTGCATAGATCATACTTTTTCCCACCAAAAGTGGAGTTATTCTTTAATTACATTACCTGCCAAAATAAAAAGGGCTCCTCCAGACACAGCAATTCTGTCCTTGGCGATGGGATTATTGTCACCCACTTTGGTACATTTCATTCCCACAACACTGATGATTATTCCGATGAAGCCCAGGAGCATAGCAATCACCATCAGAGCCCGGATTGTCTGGATGTGAACTGCAGAGGGGAGGGGGAAAAATGAAAGCAGTAATTGGTAAGACAGATGATATGAGAGCTTTCCTGTATGACCCACAGATAGTATAGGTTGAATACAGCGAGTGAACGGATTGTCAATGTACCCTTTGAAATGAGCACCTAACCCCAACAGTTTTATACCAAAGCGTATCTATAGCCAAAACATTTATTTTTTCTGTTGCTAAAGATTTTTTTCAGTTTGTTTCCCATTTATTTCTCCTGTGGCTACAGAAAGTAAGATGCAGCCATTCCAAAGCAAATGTTAAAGCTGAAACTCCGGGATAAGCAAAAATTGTCTAAATACATTTATCATTGCATTCTTCCTGGAATCTTGGTGTGGTTTGTGTATTCCTTCCAGATCTGTGCCGTAATCAAGTGTGAAACTTCACCCCTGTGTAGGAGCTTTCTATAATAAAGACCGCTTACTGCTGCTCTCCCTTCTTTTGCAGGGTGACTGGTCTTGTCTCCGCCCCCTCCTGTAATTGTCTGCAGTTTGTAGTGGGTGGGGTCTACTGGGTCCCTCCCTCAGCTCTACTCTCAGCACAGGGTATGTTCAACATAATGATGATGTCACTGCTACTTTTACAAGGTAGTACCTGGGTTAGTAAAGGCATTTGGCGCACACAAAGTTGGACATATATCCCTTGTGGCTATTCAGGAAAATATTTGTGCCCAGAGTTCAGCTTTAATTTGTTTAACTCCTTAATGACCAGATGTATTTGGTATCAACAAGATCTGAGAAGCACCCATCGGCTCTGATTTGTTTTAATTTTTTTTTTTGTTCATGGTCTGCTGCTTTGGCAGTCTGTCTCTCATTGAGGTTAGATGTAAATATTATTTATTTATTCATTACAGGTACTTATATAGCGCCATCAATTTACACAGCACTTTACATACATATTGTACATTCACATCAGTCCCTAACCCTCAAGGGGTGTGCAATCTACAGTCCATATCTCACGTTCATACATACACATATAGGGCCAATTTATACAGGATCCAATTAACCTACCAGTATGTCTTTGGAGTGTGGGAGGAAACCAGAGTACCTGGAGGAAATCAACACAGTGACAGGGAGAACATGCAAGTGGTGCCAAGGTTGGGATTTGAACCAATGACCCTAGTTCTACCAGGCAGAAGTGCTAACCATTTAGCCACTTTGCGGACAGCACTGTTTTGTCAAGTGATCACTGTGAAAGGACTGTGATCAACAGATGGTTGTAAATGTGCTAGGTTCCCTGCCCCAATACCCTGACTTGGTCAGAGAAGATATACAATACAGTTTTGAGCATGCCCCTCAGAGTCTTGTGTACATGTGCAGTGGAGGCCACGTTCTTAATAACAAAACTTGATATTGAAAGACACGGCTGGTTGCCTGACAAATGGGGGTTCTCTTTTAAGGTTTGACTATAAACCTTTAAAAGAGCTGATCACCCTAGATATCATCTTAAAAAGAAAAAAAAAACCTCACCCACACAGGTAAGTTTGACAGGTATGCAAGCACAGGCCTAAAGACCTGAATTCAAGGCTCTGCATCCAAATACATGCACCCTTCCATGTGTACCTGTCAAAATCAGCCATCCAGGTGAGTCTTTAGAGATGATGCACCTCCATCCTCTTCATATGGGTTGTACATGCATATGAGCATATGGGCAGCACAGTGGCTAAATGGTTAGCATTTCCTCCTGGCAGTACTAGGGTCATTGATTCAAATCCCAGCCACAGCACCACCTGTCTGGAGTTTGCATGTTCTCCCTGTGACTGCATGGATTTTCTCCCATACTCCACAGACATGCTGGTAGGTTAATTGGATCCTGTCTAAATTGTCCCTAGTATGTGCATGTATGAATGTGAGTTAGGGAGCTTAGATTGTACACCCCTTGAGGGTCAGGGACTGATGTGAATGTACAATATATATGTAAAAGAACTATGTGAACTGACAGCACTATATAAGTACCTGGGAAAAACAATACACAGCTCAGCACTAGTAAAAAGAAAACAAATGGCTCTGGTCAGGGCTTAGCACCTGTGCGAATGAGCCCCTAATGAAACGAGGTCATTTTTCAAGCCTTTAAATCTATAGCTTACATTAGGATAATGCTGAGTGCTCCTGCCATGAAGGTCCTTGTATGTTGTGCTTTCTGTGATAAGGTGACAATGATTGGTCCATATCTCCCAAATGTGCTCTTGCGTTGTCATCCTGTCACACGAGCTTCCAGTGCCATCTACAAGTGGCCATTTCAGCACATGTTACACAGGCATTGTCCAATAATGTCACCAGCAGGGAACCCGCATTGAGAAATGCCATGTGATCATCACTAGAACGCATGTACAAGAAGAACAATGACGCCACTCTCCAAGCCCTGCTGACTCGTCGGCCCACAGAATAGGTCATTCTGACTCCCACACATGCAGTCCAGTGAAGAAATGGCTGCACTCCAGTAAAGTAAAGATTTATTCAGCAAGCGGTGTACGAATCACATACCATGCCTCTACCCCACACACTATTTGTTGGAATCACTGGCGTAGTCTGGTGCTTCTGTGAATGATGGAACACATGTAGACAAGACTGGCTGGCAACTGACCACAGGTGATCAGCAGCATTTTGTTGCCCCAAGAATTAAAAAAACTTTTATTTTACAAAAATGGCAGTTCATTATAATAGTATATATAATAGCTATTACACTTGAGCTACCCTAAAGCATTTGATAAGTGGTGAGGAGTGTTATGTTGCTTCCTCAATGCCTGTTTTAACCCCTAAAAACCCTCACCTCTGCATTGCAGTGCACTGCATGTGAATGTGACAGCAGGGAGAGTTTTCTGCGACACAAAGCATCACAGCAGCAGCATGTGAACACCCCTGTCTGCTGCCTTTGCAGCTTAAAGTGGTTCTAAAGGTAAGACACATATATATATATATATATATATATATATATATATATATATATATATTTTATTATTTGAATGTATTCACTACATTAAGGTAAAAAGGTCTCAGTATTTGAATTGCCCTCTCATCTCCATAAATACTGCACTGGTCTCTCTCCCTGCCCTCACAGCATACAGAGACAGCAGAGGGAGACATTGGCTCCTGCTGCTGTCAATCAAATTCTGTCAGGAGGGATCGGGGGGGGGGGGGGGGGGGGGAGAGGTGGGGCTGAACGTTACTCTGATTGTCTATGGATACACACAGCCTGGCTCTGGAGCAAGCCACAGGTGTACCACCATAGCAAGCAAGCAGCTTCCTATGTTGGCACACAGAAGAGGAGGAACCTAGAGCAGTGGGGGACTCCAGAGAAGGAGGTACAGTGCTGCTCTGTGCAATACTATTCCACAGAGTAGGTAAGTATAACATGTTTATTATTTTAGAAAAATAAATTAGCCTAAACAATCTCCTTAAGTGGGTGCAGTAAAAATGCAGCTCAACTGCATGTTTTTACAGCCCCACCCAACTGCAAGTGTAAACAGCCTTAGGGTCAGTTCGTGTGTGTGCAGTGCATTTGTGGTGCGCTTAATGCTGGACATGTGTTAGTTTTGTTTGATTTTTTTTTTTTAAGAATGTTCTTTCTTTTGTTTCCAGTCATCCGTGGGTCAAATTGATGTTCGCTTTTGACAGAAGTGATAAGAAAATTCAAAGGAGAAGGATAGAAATTTTTATTCTGATGAACACATTTCTAAATGTGTATGTGGTTTTTAATGGAGAAAGTCCATTTAATTTAAAACTGAATGTTAAAAGCAAATTAAATTTTGAAGTACTTTCAAAGTCGGTCATGTCCTTGAATGTTAACCGAGAAAAAAAATTGTGCAACCTATATTCCAGACGCAGAGGAATTACAGAAATAATTATTCTAAATGTTGTGCAAAACCAGTATCTCTGTAGTGATCAATACAAAAATATGTGTATGAAAAAATAGTTAACTCACATTAAACAATATGCATCACATAAATGGTGACATAGCAGTCCCATATCATATAATTCACTTGTACATAACAAAGAAGTAAACTTCAAAGAGAAATATATAAAAATCCAAATGTGAAATCTTGAAAATGATGAAAGTCCATGTGTAAGAATCTCAAACCACCTTGCAGACACGTGTGATCTACAAATAAGAGCTCAACAGTGCAGAAATTATCCAACTGGGGGGTCACCACTGAGAATACCACTGACTCCACCGCCTCCACGGTCCTTCACTGGTTATCCCAAGCCAGCATTAACGTTACAGAGTAACACATGCAAAACATACCACACTAGGGCTCAACAGTGGGTGTATAACAGCATATGTCACTGGCCCTATCCTTTGCCCATTTTGTCTGGTGTAAGGACATCTTCTTTATCCCCAAAGATGTCCGTTGCACCAGACGAAACATGTGAAGGGCGAGTTCAGTGGCACATGACCTTGCACACCACTCTGTTGACCCCTGGTGTGGTATGTTTTGCTTGTGTTACTCTAATTTTGTGCTGGCTTTGGATAGTGAAGGACCATGGAGGCAATGGAGTACAGCTAGTGGTCGGGAACTCTCTACCCCCTGAACACAACTTGGCAATAAGGGTGCATTTACACCTGTGAATACACCTGCACTATGATTAGATGTGAGAACCACAGCGGGGAAGGGAGTCCCACTATTAGCTGTGGGAGGCAGCCCTACTGAAAGCACTGGGAGGCTGCCGGTCAAATATGGCTACTAGCATGTAATCTCTCATGCAACGATCACATGTGAGTGAACAGCCCTGGAGGTAGCTGAATGTGGGAGCCCCCGCTGGAGTTCTCACATCTAATAAGAGTGTGGATGCCTTCGCAGGTGTGGATGGACACTAAACGTTGGTGGGTGACATCACTACTCTATGGAATTCACCCCATTGTTGGTCTTCTGCATTAGACAAAGAAGCCAGAACTTTGCAGTCATGTGATTGAATAGAAACATTCTGGAAAT